GTTATTTTATCTAAAAAAGCAACATTAATTTCTTGATGACCAAATATATACAAATGTTCATAACACTCTTGGTTAAGACAGTTGTTTCCAGAACTTTAAATAATTGTATCTTTTTTTGTCAAAGCCCACACAGGCTGGTTCAATAACCTTATAACACAATTGACAAGATAAATTATTTCTTCTATATTGTTATTACAACACAATCTATGAAAATTTTACTTTAGAAATCGCCACAATACTCGCTATATGGTTAAACTCACAATCACGCAGTCTAGATCTAACTAACCATCTGTATAAGCAACTCGAACTACATTTTGAACTCGTATTTATAACCCGACCGAGGCTTAGAACGTTCCACACACCACGAGATATTATGATGCAATAATACTCAATTAAAACAACGAGAAAAATCTAGAAGGTTCTGGTAACGTGACGCAATAATATAACAATCGCCAATTAACAGCAATTGAACTACACCACGTATGATTCGAAAAACAGTTACGTAAACAAACCTGCGACAAACTATCCCTTCTAAAAACAAATAAATTTAACACTCGCGCAATACTTAAACCATTTATATCATAACACCCGCATTAAACTTAAACAGTCAAACCAAAACTATATATTGTTGTGGTTGTCGCGTGAATTGCTGATGTGTATTCTCAAAATCTTATTTATATAACATACTTAACCCTCTATATAACTCATGTCATTTATTTTTCTCGTCTCTCGTTTGTTTGTTATGGATTTCGCGCAAAGCTACACGAGGGCTATCTACGCTATCCGTCCGTAATTTAGCAGTGAAAAACTAGAGGGAAGGCAGCTAGTCATCACCACCCACCGCCAACTCTTGGGCTACTCTTTTACCAACGAATAGTGGGACTGACCGTAACATTATAACGCCCCCACGGCTGAAAGTGCGAGCATGTTTAGTGTGACGGGGATTCAAACCCGCAGATCGCGAGTCGAGCGCCCTAACCACATGGCCATGCCGGGCCTTTCTCGTCTCTTAAATTTCGTAATTTTTTCGTGTATCTCAAGTGGTGAATGCTATATTTAACATTTTTATTTTCGTTATAAATATCGCACCCCAGCGGTAAGGCTGCAGGCTTACGACGCTAAAAATGAGGTTCCAATACATGTGGTGAGCACAGAATAGGTAGCCCATTGTGTAGCTTTGTGCTTAACAATAACCAAACCAAACTGTTATAATTCTTCTTTATTTATCTGAAATATATTCACTTAAGCTTGGTTCATGTCACCTTATACTTTGTTCTCTATTTGGATGTAAGTTTCACAAATAAAAGAATTACTAAAAAATTTAGTTACTATTAGTGAGATAAAATTACTTTAGTCTTTCTATTTTTTTTTTTTTCATAAACTTTTGTTACATTTTAGCTGCAAACTTCCTGTAGAAGATGACTCTCGCTATTTACGTTTAATAGTAATATGGCCGCTCATTTATATCGTAGGTTTTTAAGATTATGTGAAATTTGGGGATTGGATTCCACTAAAAAAGGTAGAGATTTAGGACAACACATAAGAGAAAGAGTAACGCAGACATTCGTACACGGAGAGGTAACAAAAGTGAATAATTTGGAAGAGTGTGTAGAGTTTCATGAAAGTTTGCTTCGGTTAGCCAATAACTATTATGGGAAACACTATCAGCGGCACGACATATCGTCTGCTTCTGGTTTGACCGCTGAGGAGTGTCGAATGATCGTATCTACGGACTCAATGAAACAACTTGCTCATATAGAGGAGGCTGGAATGATAGACAGATTTAAAACATATTTTTCAAGTCCAGTTACTGAGCAAAAATAATTATTAGGCAAAGTTCAGTGATTGGAAATTACTTTCTTTATTATATATAAAAATTATAGGATTTTGTTTGTATCATGTATGCTAATAGTAACACTAACAGTAACTTGATTTTGAGATTGAAATAGTATTGAAAAATAAGTGTTAAAAGAGTTTAAACGTGAGGCTATTAAAAGTGTTAGTAATAATAGTATTAGCCCTGAAGCTATAACTAGAAGAGATTTTATAATCGACTAGTGAGAAATAAAGCGAAGCCTAGAGCTGATGGTGTAGACTGCAATTTGTACTACACGTGAACTAGGCCTACATCAGTACAACTTACAAGTGAAATAAAGAAGTTGGTCAATGGTAAGGATGTTTTTATTAGTTAGGCCACTAATAGAAAATTAAGTTGTACTAAGAAAGTTATAATAAAAAACGTAGTCTGATACTGAAAGTGATAGTTATTATTGTCAACTGAATACCGGGGTTGGACATATGCTCAACAGTCCCAGTACTAATGTTTTTTTTTAAAACCTATATGACTTGTAATTTATATGAACACGTAATAAGAAGAGTAGTTAAAAGAGTTAGATATGGAAAAATGTTTTTAATTTTAGCTAGAAATACATTTATATATTTCATTTCATCCTGAAACTATTATTTACATATACCAAAATTAAACATGATGATAATTGAATGAACACTTTATAAAAAAAATCATTTTCAAAGCAATAAAAACCTTAATATATGTAAAATTTAATTTTACGTAAAGATATCAACATAACACTTTCTTTTATAAGTATTAATGATATTTAAACTGATATTTTCTTTATACAACATTTATTTTCTGGTATAAGTATGTTTTATTAATTGATAAGCCTTCTCTTTATTGCTTGAACTTTAGCCTAATCTGAATATTGTGGAAACTTTTCTTTCTTGAACTTCAGTTATAAGTGTTGTAATGAGATACAGAAATTTCTTTAGCAATATGATTATAGAGCATGCAAGGAATCTGGATATGTTTCTCATTAAATTATTTAGCCAGAGATACTTTTGTATATTTTTTTCCATTTATGTATGTATGCAAAAACCATTTTTTTTTTAAATACTTTACTTTGAAATACTTATAAATATTTGTATTTGAAAACTGTTGAAGTTTTGATTTGCAGCATGATACTGATAGCTTACTTTGTTTAGTTTCTTTTGAAAAAAATAAAGATTTTTTATTGTCTTTTTGCATAGCAGAATATGCGCAGAAAAGTAACTATGCTGAAATGAACCTTCATTATAAGTAGATTAAAGAGATCTTTTATACACATAAGATGATATAAGTCACATAGGTAATACCAATATGAGTATCTAAGGGGTACTAGGGAGCAGAACATAGCTGCCTGGTTGATTTTTTGTTGTATGAGTTATATAAATCCATCATATGGATGCTCTCTCCATGCATTTTCTGCTTTAGATTTTACAATCAATCATTTTTGTGAAAGTTTTACAAGTACTTGCCTTCTTTTTAAAATAGAAGGTTGCTGACATCTCATAAAAATTCAATTTCTTGTAGTTGATGCCTAAAAAAATCACCACAGATTTGAAACTCATTGTGTAGGACTTTTGACAAGAACCATCAATTTTTAATTTTATGACACTGACAATGATTATGAGCTAATTTTTAAGTTAATTTCTTTATTTAACTAGTATATATATACATATATATTGTAAAATAATTTGCATATTTTTTCTTCCTTTATCACCTGGTTGACTGTAAAGTGGAAAAGATGGAATTGGAAAATAGTAAAACTCAGCACAAAAAATCAGAAAACATGTATGTTTGTGTGAACTGTGGAAGATCAGCTCCTACTCTGTATAAACACTTCAGTTCTGATGTGTTAAAGCTCTGTCACTGTGTGAGTAAAGTTCATGTTTTGAAAAAAAAAAGTTGCCAATGCAAATATCAATTTAAGTTACATCATTATTGCCTTTTAGTTCATTCCATTTTTTAAATGTTGCCATAAATAAAACTATAGCTTGTAACAATATCAAGAACAATTTATTCATTATTTGTTTTACATTTTTATTTACAAAAAAGATACACATTCAGTTTTTCAAAAATATTCTGGGACTGTTTTAAATGTTTACAGAAATTTGCTGATAAAATTATTACCTCTGCCACCAAAGGTGGGTGGAGGTTATGTTTTTTTCTGTGTGTGTGTGTATGTTTGTCAGCAAGATTTCTTAAATGGCTGAATGGATTTGGAAGAAAGTTGGTATGCATTTGAACTATGACCTAAGTTAAAAGTGTTTAGTTTGGAGGGTCAAAGGTCAAGGTAACAAAAAAATTCCCTATCTGTTAACATAGTGATCATTTATCATTCTTTTTGCTCTATAACTCAGTCAAAAATTATTGGATTTTGATGAAACGTGGTGGTCATATGTAGAATATTATTCCTCTTCTGCCATAAGTGGTCCATTTCCATTGATAACGATGGACATACAAACAAATTTTTGTTAGGGCTATATTTAATCAACACCATGTGGTGGAGGTATGCGCTCTACTGAGTGTCCCTCTATTTTGTATTGTGGACCATAGAAAGACTAGGACCAGAATATGTTTACTAGGTACTAGTGTACAGATTATTACTTTTAAAATGTATGAGGAACTTCTTCGGGGGTTAGGAATAGAAACAGACATGTGGCCCTTTTGGGAGCTCTCTCTGAATGAATAACTTGGCAGAATCCAAGGCTTAAACAAAAGATTAATAAGGATGTGCTTAGAGCAAAAGGTTGGTTGGTTGGACCTTTGGGACAGTTTTCAAGGTAAGTATGAATATAGACTAGAGATGAGCTCCTCTTAAACAGGCTAGGTATTAGGATGTTTTGGGAAGCTCTACAGTAGTTTATACTAAACTTGCTTTTTGTTGAGAGAGCTTGGGAATAAACAAGTTGATATTTATTTTGATTGTATAGAGTCAAATAATGAGAAGGATTTCTTGAAGTGATTCAGAAATGTTTTCTAAACCAATGATCATAGAGCCAGTCAGGGGTGATGTCATTTTAGATTTATTTTTAACTGCCAGTGAACAAATGGTTACAAGAGATGAAGTTGGGGAACATTTGGGAAAGGATGATCATTGCAAAATTAGGTTTGATGTTTTGATACATGTTGAGATAAAATGAAATTTCCGATATGGTACATTACCTCCACTTACATGTATAGCTATTCTCATTCAAAGATGCCCTCTATGTGCAAAATTGTTTTGCATGCCACAAGCCTTGAACTCCCATGTACACCATGATCAAATGTGGTTCAACTGTGTCTCACATGTAAATCATCATGCAACAACCCTCCACCCTGACCGCATGTGACTCCCTCTATTTGATTCTACCAAACTGAGGCACTCCACTGATCTCCTGAGGAGATTTTGGGGTAATATCTTCTTTTTATTTCCACATTGGCCAATTGTCCTCTTTGGCTCTATCCCTTCACATGTGGTTTCTTTGCTGTTGGGATCTTCTGGGGAGGGATGCTGTCTTGTCCCAGGTTCGTTTACCATCCTTATCTTAATTAATGTATGGCTCGTTTTCTTATTCGGTCCCTTTTTGGGGATATTCCTGAGTCTTTGGAATCTGTGAGGCAAAATTTGACCCTTTTATCTTTGGTTGCTCGTTTGTCTCATTCTGAGCATTTACAATCTCCTGTTTTGGTTCCCTGCCCTGCACCCTTCCGTATTTACCTGTTTTTATCACTAGGGGTTCCACTGTTTGTCATATTTCTCGATGTTGGTTTCATCATTGCCGACTCTCCTGTGAGTTTCAGTGCAGTGGGGGCTCATTTGGCTGATTTTGTTCTCTTATGTCAGGAATTCAGTACTGATCCTTGGGTTGTCTGGGTTTTGTCAGAAGGACTTTTCATCCATTTCCTTTCCCCTCCCCCCATTGTCCCAAGTACCAATATCCTTTCCATTAGCCAAGGATCCTACTACCAGTCAGCATCTATCCGAGGTGGTGTGTACTCTTCTGTCACAGAGAACTATCGAGCCTATCAGCCAACCTTCCCTAGGTTTTTACTCCAGGCTTTTTGTGGTCTCTAATAAATCCAGGGACTAGCATCCTGTGATCGATCTGTCCCACCTCAAACACTTTTAGATCTTCCCCATTTTACCATGGAGTCTTTTCTTATGCTGCGGTGTGCTTTTTCTCCAGGGCTGTGGATGATCAAGATAGATGTTTCGAATGCTTATCTTTATATTCCTATTTCTCATCAGTCTTGATGCTATCTTTGGTTTGTCTACCACTGAGTTGTGTATCAGTTTTGTGCCTTGCTCTTGGGGCTTACTTCAGCTCCGTACGTCTTTTGTTGAGCAGTCGAAGCCTTTGCCTGACTTTTATGTGCTTCGGGGTTGCATTTACACCACTACATGGAATTCTGGCTTTTGTTAGCTCATTCAAAACTAAAATATTTACAACGTACTTATCTGCTTTTGACAGAAGCAGCTCGGGTGAGTTGGATTATCAAGCTAGAGAAATCTTTCTTGTTAACTACCCAATATTTTATCCACTTGAGTGTCTTTTTAAACACCCATCTCAGTCAGGCCCAACCTTCTCCACTTTGACTTTGGGCAATGGAGCTTTCAGTTCTCCATGGCCTTGCTGCTCCCTCTCTTTCTGCTTGTGAGGTTCTATTGTTTTTAAGGATGTGGTCTTCTATGGAGACACTTATCCCCTTGGGTCGGGTGGTCTTTTCGGTGGACTCTTCACTGCCAATGAAATCTTACTTGGAATCCTTTGGATTCTCCCATTACCTTTCCTTCTTCCATTGTAAATGATCTGCATTAGTGGTTGAACAAGGCCCACATGTTGTCAGGTGTACTTCTTCCTTCACCTTGTCCACATTTGCATCTATTCACAGATGCTTCTCACCACAGTTGGGGGCATGGGTCAATCAGCAGGAGGCTACCAGACAATAGTCTCGAGCCAAGAAGTCTTGGAATTGACTTGTTATGATCCATTCAGATAACTCTACAGTAGTGGTTTATATCTATCACCAAGAGGGAACCCATTCCTTTTGCAGTCGACCCTTGGATCTCCTTTTTTGGGCCCACAGGCTGGGAATATGTCTCTTTGCATGTCATGTTCCGGGTACTTTCAGCCTCATGGTGGATCGTCTTTCCAGACCAGACAAAGTTTATCCCATGGAATGGTTTCTCAACCTTCAAGTTGTTTTCCAGTGGCTATACAATCAGTGGAGTACTCCTCATCTGGATACATTTGCCATTTTTCTCAATACCAAGCTCCCTCTTTTTTGGTCTCCAGTTCCTCAACCTCACACTCTAGCTCTCAATGCTTTTAGCCAGGATTGAACCAACCACTATGTTTATCTTCCCAACAGACTTCTTCCCCAGGTGATTTCGATCATCCATGCCACTCCGTGTCAGGTCCTTCTGATTGCTCCTTATTGACTGACACAACTTTGGTTTCCTCGTTTCCTTCAGCTCCAAACTTACCCTATATTGCCTCTTCTATGCCAACCTTGATCACCAGTTTTTCACCCCACCCCTCCTACCCTTTGTCTTCACATCTGTCATTTATCAGTTCCCTGACAAGGGATTTATCAATGTAAATGCTACATCTTCCGCCATTGGTCTTTGAGTTGGGGTTTTCCCCTTCTCTGCCCACTGTTTCTCTTATTATGGATTTTCTCACTTGGCTCTTAAAATCCTGGGACTTTTGTCTCCTCTTTAGCTGGTTATCAAGTACCCTTATCCCACACTTCTGTTTTTTCCTGGTACCATTTGGTGTTTACCTCCCCAACCCTTTCCCTTTTATTGCATTCCTTCCAGATTCATAGACCTCCTCATCAGGTGTTCCTTCCAGATTGGAATGTCAATGTTGTTTTTCACTGCCTTACTCTATCTCTGCTTGAACCTTTGTCTTAATATTCCTTGTTTCACTTATCCAGATCAGTTTTTTAATCCCCAAAATTGTGGCAACTTGTGAGGGAAGTTCTTCCTTCTCACTTATTTTGCTTCTTTCCATATCCATCTTTATTCCCGGTATGATCCGGTCTATGTCCCGTACATGCTCTTTTAATTACATTGCCTGCATGGCTTTCTTCCATAGTTCCCATTCTTGACTTTTCATCCCCTGGCAACATTCCTCTATTCATGACCTTTCTCCTTCCATCCTTATAAATTGGGTTTGGCTTTTGATTCATTTGACATATTCATCCTTGTCTCCTTCTCCCCAAAACCTATTCTAGGTGTCGTTGCATCAGATCTGGCACCATACTTTTCCTTGGCATCTCACCTCCATTATCCGTTGGAGGAGATTGCACACAGCTTCTGTGTGGTTCTATTCAGAGGGCAAGGTTGCTTGTAGTTTATGGATGTAATCCACTTCCTTGTAGTGGGACTCAGAAGTTTCCATTGTGCTCCAACTTCTGCGCGGCCCTATCCGGGAGATGATGTTGCATATCTTTACAAATAAATATGCTCCACTTCCATGTGGTGGGTTTTGGAGATTGATGTCAATGCAGCTTCTGTGTGGTTCTATCCAAAGGATGATGTTGTTTGTATTTTACAGATGCAATCCACTTATGTGTGGTAGGACCTAGAGGTTGCTATTATGCTCCAGCATTTGTGCAGTTCTATCCAGAGGATGATGTTGCTTTGGAGTAGATCCATCACCTTGCTTTTCACCCCTTCTATTGGGATTCTTCATTCTACCATCTCCTGGATGTCAGTTCTCAGTGTGTGGTTTTGAAATGGACCAATTAACGTAAATCCTGAAAAATGTGTTGGTTGTGTTACTTCTTTCTCACTCAGTTTGCCTCCGGATCTTCATCTCTGTGCAGTGGGATCTCAGAGGTTGATGTTGTGCCCAGGTTTTGTGTGGTTCTATCTGGAGGGTGCAGTTGCTATATATATATATTTCAAGAAGTGATCCACTTCTGTTCAGTGGGACCCGGAGGGTGGCATTGCACTCTGGCTTCTGTATGGTCCTATCTGGAGGATAATGTTGAATGGGGGTGAAGGTTCTCCCTCTCACACTCCATTTCAGGGTGTTTTCACTGCCTGAGGATGATGATGTGCAGTGGGATACCAGTCTGATTGAGTTTGATGTGTCCTGCCACATTGGCACATCTCTTCCTCCCATCATTTGGATGTCGGGTTTCTGGGTGTGTGGTTATGGATCTTTACATGTGTGTCCATTTCATAGATCAATTTGCACAATATATCCTTCCATTCTACTTAACTCTTTCAGCACAAATTCGATTCCTGGGATGGAGCTTGTAACCATTTTGTGCTTGTTATAGTTAGGCAGGCAAACAATACAGAATTTATAATGACACGGTGCATGTGGACTCATGTCACCAAATATAATAATATAAAACTGACCTATAGTCTTACAAATTGACCTGTATTGGCTGTGTTTTAGTAGAGTAGTATTTTGTAAAATACAGTCGCATTTCAGTTATTATACATTATATATGTATATAGATTATTGCTATTCAGAAATAAGTTCTTAAACTTACTTTTCTTAAAACATAGAACAGTAAATAAAGAAATATAGCAAATAATTATCTCTTCTAGTTATGACCTTTGTAATCGATTGCTGCTTGACTTAGGTTGCTAAATCTTTTAATATTTTGCACATGGAAGATATGAAACAAACTAATTTTTTTTTTAGGTTTTATACATACAGTTGAATTACCAAAAAATCATAAATTACTACATTAATACCATAAAATTCCACTATAATTTATTAAGCATGGTAACTAAGCTGAATTTCAGTCTAAAAATATATGAAAATTTAAGCAGACTAAAGACACAACCTACCTCCTTGGAATCTTGGTTCAAAAGAAAGAGGTGGTGTCCAAAGATGTTAAAATAGCTGAGACAGCTGCTAGGGGAACATTCTGAGCTTCTGATTGGTTATTCATGTCAGATAT